ATTAAAATTGTTAGGTGAACCTATTATAAACTTTAAAAGTGCCTATTTGTTCAATAATTTATAATGATTTATAGGTATAAATATTATTTTTTAGATTGTTGGTTTATTTATAATTGTTAATTTTAACCATTTAAAGTATTTGTTATGTTTGGTGTCTGTTAGCAATAATTTAGGTCTATATATTTTTTTTAAATTTAAATCATGTTTCATTGCCTAAAAATTGGTGCATTGATATTTTCAATAATTAACACTGAATTATATGAAAACTGTTGAACTTCCAGCCTTTGATTATAAGCATTAATAAGTAACATTTTTAAAACAAATATTTATTTTTATAAAACAACAACATATTATGTTTTTTTTTTTATATACAATCATTAGACGATCAAAGAAATTAAGTTTTAATATCTATGAAATATATTATATTATGTATGGTTACTTTTTACAATTTTGTATAATTTTTTAATCTTATTTGTTGGTTTTTGTAAAAGATTTTGTTATATGATATCAATACTTTACTATTCACCCTTGTGGATACCTATCTCTATTCTGTAGGTATTTATTATTTATGCTTTAATGTGAATGTTATGAATTATCTTGTTAAAAATACATACATCATAATTTGTATTTTTTTTTTTTTTAAGATCTATTGTTTTAAGTTACTATAATTCTATAAAACATAGCTAATAATCATATATCTTCCAGTAATAAATAAAGTATGTCACTTACCTATTATGTTAAAACCATACTTGCCACTTGAGTATACATAGGCCTATGCATTTTATTCATTTAATCATAAGTACCTATTTACAATAACAACTACTACTTAATTCCTTTTCATAGAATTATAAAAAAAAATATGTAACACAGTAATATTTTATAATAAAAATTATTAATTATATACTTAAGAGGACACAATAAGGTTTTTTTTAATAACCAGACTTGATTTTTTTTGTCCTGTTATTAATAATTATTGTTAAACATTATATTATTATTGTACTGTATTAGATGGTACCTATAACTGTTTTGTACCTTAAGTTTAAGCATGACTTATATAGTTATAATATACAATAACCTAACTATATTTAAGACGAGTGACAATATAATTCATCATAATACATTCATATTACATTATTGTTATTCTAATATCCTATATTTCAATTATTGAGTAGGTAACAGAATATTAATTAAGATTTAATATGTTTACATTTTACATTAAACAATTATACAAGTAAAACCAAAGCTGGTGACATAACATGGAGTTAATTGTAATAAGGGGGAGGGGGAGGGACAAAATATAAAAAATATGTTTTACCTACTATATCTAAAGTTTATTAGGGGAAGTGTAAAACATTAAATAGTGATCCTCGGAGTTTTGAAGGATTGTAAAATTATTGAAAATGTATCAAGTTAATAAATAATAATTGTACTATTTATATTATAATGTACACAATTTTAAATGTATTTGTATGCTATTGTGGCCATTTATTTAAAAAGCTTTTAACATAAGTAATTAGATAGTTATCTAATGAATTAATAACTTATATACAATAAATATCTATTGTTATTACTAAAGATTCTTTTAGTTAATATGAAAAATAACAGGTACCTGGTACACGTTAAATTAAAACTGGTTTATACAAATCTGTAACTATTAACTGTAATTAAATTGACGAGCTGAAGGGGGCAACAGCCTTCATCGATTATTCCTATGATCAAAGCAATAATTAAATTACCTTTATTACCAAATATAATATTACCAACATTAACCTACATTCCAATATTAAGTTTTCAATTTTTTCCCTTGATGTCCAAAATGTATAAATGAAAGTAATAAGAATATGAGATTGATATTTATGTGTTGTTTTTAATAGTAGTCATTTAAGGGTTATCTTTCACTATTCAGTTTACCATAGTAAAAAGTACAGCTTCTATGTGGACTACTGGACTACCTACATTTTATAAAAAAAATAGCAATTTAAATAAGTTATTTTCAATAAAAAAAATATAAATTAAGAACCTACTTAAAAAATTTTTTTTATTGTTACAGCATCAACTACAAGGTTATTACCTTAAAATAATAGTAATGAATTAAAATTAAATTAAGTTAGGTATACATTTCATTTTTTGATTTTTTTTTTTCATTATGTTTTGTGTATCATCATAGGGTCCTATGGCTTTGTATAGATTGTCTGGGATTTTGCATTCTTTTCTGACCTACGTGAAGATACTTTAAATTATATCTTATGCTAAAAGAGTTGGACAATTATTTCTATTTTGGTAGCAGAAGTATGTACCATAAAGCTCAAATCACATTAAATTGTTTTCTCAAACTCTATTAACTATTTTGACAACATCCATTATGTGATGAGGATAGTATTTATGCCAAAATGTCTTATTAGAAACTAACAGGACTGTTACATTTTTTTTCTGGATAGTTGATAGTTATAACTATTAACTGACCAAATATGGTCAATAGTTAACAGGAGCTACTAGAAATAACATCAAATGAAAAATAAATAAAACTTATACATTACCTAATTAAATTATTTTATTGTGGATAATCAAATTCATAATTAAATACAATTTATTTTATATAATATGATTAATTACTACACGGAAACAAAAAATATTACTTAGTATATAAATTTAAGAATATATACTCATATTTACTTCTGTTCAGTTTCTTCGAAAGGGTAAGGTGGTGCAAAAGCATTGAAAAAACAGTTGTCTTGTAACTGAAATAAATAAACATATGCAAATTAAAAAATTATTTAAAAATTGAGGTATTCTGTGTTAAGAATAACACAGAATATTATTATGTTATTTCCGTACTTTCTCAAATAAAATAACAAGTAATGAATACAATTTATACTTCCTATTGGTTTCAGAGCAATGACAAGTTATCATAAAAAAATAATTTATTGATACATTATAGTTCAGATACCTATGTACTTACAATAGCTATATAAAAGTTAAAATATTAGTATTAACCATTTGGTTGGTACTTAGTATATATATCACTATGCAATGTTATTCAATCATTATACACTTTCCCAAATAAAATGAATGAATATTTCTAGGCACACTACTTATTAACTGTATTAAATTATGCAGATATAATCATTATCTTATGCTTACAAGTAATTTATACTACTTAGGGTATTGTTTTCCTAACTTTTATATCTTTACTATTGTTGTTATCGGTAAAATAACTAAAACAAATTAAAAATTTCAAAATTCTGCACAGAATATTGAACTACAGTGAAAACTCTTTATAACGAAACTCTTTACAACGAAAAACTCTATATAACGTAAAAATTACATAATAATGGTTGGTTTGCTATATAACCCATTAGACAATTCATTCTTTATAACGTATTAGTCACTCTCAATAACGAAACAATATTTTATGTTTCATAATACAATTTACGTGTTATCGTATCTATTACATATATAAACTATAAAAATAATCG